GGATACTAAAATGTTTTTTGTTTGTTTGGTTGTATTTTTTTTTAATGATTTTTGGCTTGGGGTTTTTAGAGTGTTTTTCTTCTGTAAAATTTTAAGACTGTGGTCTCGTATAGATGACAGAAAGATGACCTGTATTGCTTGTGTTCACCCAATGTTTTTATAAGGTCTGCTCAGAAAAAGAAAACAATATCCTATAAATATAAACTCATCTTTATTTAATTTCTTTTCTTTCCTTTTTTTCCCCTTAGTTCATCCATTACTGAAACCTGCTTAATTATTTAAAACAGACTTCTCTATTGCCTTGTTAATAATACATTACGCCTGCTGTGGAAAAAGTGAAGCAAATTCATCTCCATGAGAAAATCCTGCAACTGAGAACTCAAAGGTTGAAATAAAATATACATGACGAAAAAGAAAAGAGAAACAAAACAATGCAGCTCAGTTCTGTTCTACCTGAAAGCCTTGTCTTCAGCTCTGAATTTCTCCTTCACAAACCCAAACCCCCCATGTACGTGGTTTTACTTTATATTAGGGTTTATTCTAACATTGCACTGCCTTAGGTGTCTGCAGAGAAAGAGAAACTATGAACACTGATCAGAGGGATTTGAAAAACCGAAGTCTTGGCATGTAGCAACAAAACGTCCATGCAGATCAACAAAACTAGGCTTTCAGACCTATAACCCCACGGATAAATGAATGGGCCTCAGAAAACAGTCATGGTATTTAGTTCTGAAATCGAGAACTTCTCCCTCCATACCACTGTTTTCTCCTGATTATGGCAGAAGTGAAGCAGGCAGCCTGCTTCTTTTCTCTGAGAAGGCAGAAATATTCTTAAAATCCCAGCCAAAAAAAAAAATCTACCTGAGCTTTTGTGCCTTTCAGTGCTTTTCTCTGCAGGTCTTTGTGCTTGCACAACTAAGCAAGGCACTATTCTCAAAGCTCTATGCCCTTTTAAAGATGTTTTTTAAACCTTCTGTATGGTTTACACACCAGAATATTTAATTGTATTCTGAGATATCTGCTACACAAAACTATACTCTTTTCCACTTGAACATGTGTTCCTCCTTAAGTCAAGGCCCATGCACTGCAGATGTCTTCTATTTAGACCTTTAAACACCATTATTTCTGTGCTTGGCTAGGCACTTTCACAGCAGGTTTCTGGTGGAGAATCTGACAGAGAAGAATGATGGGCAAGAGCTATCTAAATGGCACAGCGGCCCTCCCTTCCAGAGCGACAAGTGTGTGCATCTAGAAGCACGCCTTTTCCAAAAGGGTATCCCCCTCCATCACTCTCAAACACTTGCGTACCATAAGCTCCATGCTGGTCTCCAGCTATGAACATTATTCCATACGATGTGAACAGATTCTGTACAGATTTGCGCTCAGAAAACCCAACCTAACTGCAGTTCCACAGTCTTTTCCGTCATGGGTCAGTTTCCTGATGTCACATTATTGCAGTTGTGCTGTTTCGCTATTGTAGTTGAAAAACATACCCTCACAACGCCATACCCAACCGATGGTCTGATTTGGTTTAAGAATTTGTCTGAGACACAGATTTTGGAAGTATATGTCAATCATTCATATTTCATATGTGTGGCAAATGCCCTCCAAAAACTTTTACTGCATTTATTCAAAGGGCACTGAGAGAATTTTTTAGCTTTTATAAAGTACAACTTTATAAAAAGTACAACACTTTCCTTGCAAACCAGATGTCCAGACATTCTCTTATTCAGGTGAAAGCATGCATCACTAAACCAGGCTGCACACAGCACACGACAGCAAATACTCTGCATTGTTAAATATTAAGCAGGTACTTTGATACGCTATTTATTTATTCACTGAAGTCTGCTACCTGCCTCCTACATCACAGAACCATCAGAGTTTATTACAGTAGAAGCGTCCATGGGCTGTGAGCGATCTTCTTTTTTGTATACCTACCAAACATTCATTTTCAGGAGAAATACACAGGAATGACTGAAATTCCTGGTAGATTAAACTGTGAATAAACCTGGAAATAGGGCATCTTAGAAAACAAATGGATACAGTGATCTGTAGCTTTCTTACCATCACAGTCCTTATGTGTCTTTCCTAACACTCACAACATTTGTTTCCCAAACTACTCCCAGCTGCAGGCCAGCTGAACACTTCTGGATTGTTAGCTTCTCAGAACAGTCTCTGGATACTTTCAACTAGTATTCTACCAAACATTCTGCTGTGAATGTATCATCCAAATGCTCAGCACTGAGAAGTGACAGTCGCTTTCTTGTGAAAAAAGGCAAAAGAGGTTGTCATATTTAATTAGCCTCAACTGCATATCATTCTTCTGACTCCCTGGCTTCATCGCTCTTTCATGGACAGCTCCTAGCTAAATAAAAAGTGACTGCTATTCGGATCTGAAGAGGTCTTACCAGTTTCAACTTCACATGATTCACAACACAATATGATTACAAGTATTTTCAAAAACATTTTATCTCTAAAAACAAAATGGTTTTGTTCAAAAATAACATTGGGATAGTTTTCAAAGTAGACCTGTAAAATAACTGAAGGACCCAATTTCCATCACTTATCTGCATCTCCTTGATACTTCTGGGGGAAGAAAAGGGTGTCTGCCTGAAGGCAAAACACTCCTGTAATGTCATTCCTTCTTATTTCAAGGCCAATGTTACAAACAGTCTGAATAACATCTCTGGCATATACTGGCTAGACTGAAAAGCTCTTGTCTGAGATCCTGTTTCTTTCTCAAGAGAGAAAAAAGAACAATCTACATTTAGACGAATAGACTTCAACTATATTTTTATTATCATTGATCACTTGTGGTCACTTAGTCAACACAATCTAATTTTGCCCAATTTACTGCTACAAAATTCTAGGAATGCTTTGTCAAAGAAAGCAGACTGTTCAGGCTGTTCGTGAGTTGGCACCTGAATCAAGAGTCCAGTAAATCAAACACACACCTCTTCTTCAGTGAAAAACGAAATTCCTACCCAGTCCCAAGTCTCCTCTTCCACAACATGTATTCTTCTCAGTCTACTACAGATCTCCTAAACTATTTGCTTAATTTACTTCCTCTTTCCAAGAACACAGACTGTCTGCACATCTACCATCACCATTTATCTTTGCACTGAGCTATACTAACTGTCATTCTACATCACTGTTTTGATTACAGTCAGCACCAAAAATCTTGGTCAGGTATCTGACAGCCAATGAAAAATATCGAATAAGAAATTAACTTATGGTGCAAAATGGAAACCCCTACTTCAATAACTCATGACAGACCAACTGAAACATCTATTTTGTTTACTATACGAACATATCAGGCTGAGTCCCACCAGCATAACTTAGAAAAAAAAAATTCTGCAAGCTGCAGCAAGATTTTGGAGAGCAGCTGGAGCACCTTCAGGATCCTCTGAGACAAAGACAGCACTTACAAACACAGACAAAATGGTGAACAAAATGTACAGCAAAAAAGTGATGTGATCTATCTGAAAAAGGACACAGAAATAATTACAGCTTTTGGAAATTTTTAAAGAAGTTAAAAAAATTTTCTCCCATATGGAATAATCTGGGAAGATTGCTTTAGCCCTCCACATGACTGCTAATCAACTCTGTAGCAACAAATAGTTAAAAAATATTTGTAAAGTAATTTTTGCAATACAGGGCTTTCTTTTAAAAAAAAGTTTCAATGAAACTACGAAGAAACAAACAAACAATGAAAACACACTCATCACTGTGTGTTTCCAACAGTTTTAAAGGAAAAACAGTATCTGGAAGCTACATGTCTTAATCAGCTTGCATGATTTTTCAGCTACTCAAACACCATGCTCCAAAAATCTCCTCTTATTTGTAGAATACTGGCCTTCATCAATTTGCAGGCAGATAAAAAAATCAGAACCCTGTCACAGATCTACATGGCATGTGATCTCTGTTCATCATCTGAATTCCCTTTGAAGAGGCCGAGGTGTTCTGCATAGTTCTGATGCATTTCTAGAAGGTTACAATAATTCGGTTTAAAAAATCAAACAACACACAAAACATTGTATCTTCCACCGTTCTTCCACAAAAACAAAGGTCACAAAACACACTGTACAGCCATAAAGAAGATGGAGCAGATGTTTGTAGTGCAGTTATCCTTGAATTAATAGCATGGGTCCATACAATAGACTATTTTTAGCCAGTAAATTTAGCCTACCATCTCTTTTCATATCAGGCACAAATGTAATGCAGTTAACAGTTGTTTATGAGTTTATTTTGTTGGAAATGCAGAAAACCCATAAAATGACTAATAAAGATTATCATAGAGGCAGCTAAAACCACAAACTGTGAACTGATTCTGATCCAAGTTAAGCCTCATGTCAAAAGTACAGAATTTCAGAAATGCTGATGCTGTAAATCTGAGCAACGGCCTTCGACACTTAGACTGCTGGAGAGTGAATAAACTTCACAGAGATAATGTACTATACTGAGGTTCATAACACATTTCTACTGCCTGCAAGTGGACAAAAAACCTGCATCTTTTCCAGAATATGACTCTGATCTATGACACCATCATAACGAATATTAACAGATTTCTGATGGAACTGTTACGATTATTATGTGACAGAAAATGAAACTTAGAAACCTAGAATTAATAGAAACATGCAAGGATAGATAATAGAAGACAAAGCGTTTGCTCGCTATTCTAAAATGTCCCATAGCAGTAAGAAATGTGACAGCATTTGTTTCAGAAAAAACAGGTAAAGAGCTTCATGTGACAAATTCCTGTACAGTATAACTGGGGTCAGCGGTGCTTCATAAAGAAAAATCTGACCCACTGATAATGCACTTGCTTACCTCTTGTATGTCCTCTAGACTATAAATTTAAAACAGTGAAAGCACTACAAACTTTACTGAGGGATGAGTCACAGAACCGGCACAAATGCACCCTCCTTCCCTGCCATGTATGCCACAATTAAAGGAACAAGACATACATAACCTGAGAGCTGAAAACTTTGTATACTCACATCTCCATCTAGTGGCCTCTGGTCGTCAGAGTCCCTGGTTGGACTGATGTCCTGCCTCATCACCCAGATAGGCTCCTTAGGTTCATCAGGGGTATAAGGAGAACGAATGGTCCTTGTCTTTACTTCCTCAATAGCCTCTTTGATATCCTTGATGGCCAGCGAAATTGCATCTCTCTTTTCCTTGCTGTACCTCTGTACAGATTCTCCTGAGCTGGACGTAACTCGAGAACCAGCTGGGAGCTGGCCATTGCTTTCATGTCCATCATCAGCAAGAGCATGACCATGCTCCAAACTCTGCTCTGCCTCTGGCATGTCTTCAGCTGCCTTGTCTAAGCTCTGGGAGCTCATGCTCTGCTTCACCTCTGCTACAATCTGATCAATGTCCTCCTCTTGTTCATAACTATCCATTCTTGGGTAGGGCGCAAACTCTGCCTCCTTCTCAGGGCTGTCAGACTCTCCGTCAGACCGTTCATCATAATGGTGAAGGCGGGCACCAAGTGCCTCCTTGCGGTAATTGTCAGCTTCCTCCCTTTCCCGCTCATACTGTTGGATCCCCTCCCTAACATCGAGGTCTGGTGTATCTCCTATCTCCTCATACACATGCTCCTGCAGTCCATAGTCGGCATAAGGCTCAGCGTACTGTTCATCCTCTCCGCGGTGGAAGAGCCGATGTGTGTAGACATAACCCGAGTAGGCTGCATTCACGGCTTCCTCGTGTTCGATGGAATGGAAATGTAAGTGGTTGGGCAATGTTCGATTATGAATGGCCTCGCCATGCTCAGCCTCGGCATTCTCCGTGTACTCCTCAGACTCAGGCCTGTACTGCACCGCATACGCGCTCTCATCCTCATTTTCCTGAACTCTTTCTGTGTCGTAACTGTTCTCCACTGCGGCTATCACATCCCCTTCTGCAGTATCCGTGTGATTGTGGAAACCACTCTCAGTGCTGGCTGATCGAGCTAACATCCCTTCCTCTTCCTGCCCAGACAGGCCCCCTTGGCTGCTGTTTGTATGCCTTGGGAAGCGAGTTGCATACCGCTGTTCCTCTTCCACCTCAGAGTGCTCCAGGTCAGCCTCCACTGACTCATTCACTGCTCCATTTGCCGGCTCTTCACCTACCTCCCCCTCAGGCGGTCCAACCAAATGGTTCATGGCAAGTTCTGGTGGGTAGGTCACTTATGCTATTGACATTTTGTCTATCACAGCTGGAAAGAAATAAAAAAAACCCTCTGACGTTACTCTTAAAAAAGGTGGAGTCAATAAACAGAAGCAACAAAAAGCACCCTTCTTTCCCCAGCAGACAAACGTTTGACTTCGCCAGCCAGCACAACAGTATGACCTCCCATGCAAATCATCTCCAACAGCAGCAACCAACAATGACCCCCTTGGGGACTGCGCTTCTCACTTCCATGGATAAATTCTTTGTGGAAGAACCATTTCCAACCAACTCCCTGGAGATGCTTCTATGGAGTGCTGTGGCATTTCTATGACGTTGGCGGGTGCATGTTAGAAAAGCTAACTTTTGCCAGGGGCTCAACCATGGTAGAGACATGACGGAAATATTCTACTTTTGCTTCACCTCTCTCCTTACAGCTCACTAACTTTGTGCAAAGGAAGGATGCTTTAATGTAAAATGGCAGATCTAGTCCCGTCGCAGGAGTCTGCAATTGCTCACGTACATGACAGCTATGCATATTACACTTCTCCAGTATGGTATCTTCAGTTGATCTAGTCACCCTATGCACTTTTAAAAAAAGATTAGAAATAAAAATGCACTCTCAGTGTATCTGAAGCACCTGTTCCTTCTCTCTAGAGAAGGAACATGACAGCTAGATATAACATAGTTACCTTCGTGGAATGTATCTATAATCACTTAAGATGGCTTCTGCACCCAACATCTTTCGTAAAACATGGAGAACGCATTACTAATGTTCATAACCATGAACACTTTGAGACTAGTGAGGCATCTTGGCCTTGATGACTTTGAGTAAAATTCTCAAAAGATGATACAATTACCAGAGAGGTCTGCCAATAATGGTAAATACGCAGGCCACAGAAACAGGAAAACCCCGTAAGAGTACAGATAAGCTTCTGCAAGTTTCGTAGAGCAAACAGGTCTATCTAGCTCAGAAGCTTTCATCTTCATGTAACAGCTTTGGCTGTTTTGAACCTTGCCCTATATTTTTTAGTGTCATGAAAAGGACATTTTATGTCCTTTCAGGTCCCAAAGTCAAACCACATCTCCATACGTAAAACACTGCTCTAGCCTGTGACTTACTGACAAGTACTAAAAGAAAAGGTACCTGTTGGAAGACTTCTAACTTGCAGAATCTGTAAAAGTATGTGTCAACTGCCAATTAAAAAAATCAAGTGAATGTAAAATAGAACTTGAACCAAACCTTGTCTGACGAGAAAGCAGCACTAATTCCAGTTGCCCTCTGTCAGAAAAGCTGACAGGCTGGCAAGGCTAGGTGGGAATTACTTGCGCTGTAGCTCCATGAGAAATCTAGTCAGTGCAGCTTCCAGCTCCGCACACACTCCTCCTTGTTTTCATCACACCTGATCTTTTAGGCTTTAAAACTTAGGAGAGTCCTTAAAAAAAAGGAAACAAAACATATCTTCACCCTTGTTGCAGACAGATCTTACCATTTTCAGAAACAGCCCATACATAGCTTTTGCAAATCCAGTATGCTGCGTTTAACCTCTAAGACTTGCCTTTCCGACCCTCATCACAAGGGAGAAAAATGTATAGTATACCCTACAGTATATAAAAAAAGGCAGTTGTAAAATAATAGCTAATAAATCACATTAAGTGAACAGGTAAAGATGTTCCACACAAATTAAGCTTTTTTCCAAAATAACTATGGAAAATTTCAGGGTTCTTTTTCCAGCTAAAGAAGGTATGTTAGTAAGAAGCCTTCAGTGACACAGTAAGGTCTTTTCCAGCTAAGACTTCCAAGAAATCAGGGAAGAATGGGCAGAATACAGGAGTGTATGCAGGTGTGTGCCAGAACTAACAAACCAAACACCGTCTTCCCCATCGCATATATTATTTAAGTAAACAAGAACAACAATATTGGATAGCTTTCCCTTTTAAACCTGCAAGGAACAGTGAAGAAGTCAAGGTATAACAGCCCTTTGAAAAGTCCATCCCAAGCAGGATTTCCTGCTTCCATTGAAGTTTGTTACAGAATTTCTACGACTTGCACATAGACAGAATAAGGCTAAAACAGCGGACTGTTGAAAACCTCTGCCTTAAATCTGTTGCATTCAAAGCCCCTGACTTGCACCTAGGTGTCATTGGTCACGCACAGAAAAAGGGCAGTACTAGTTGAAAGAAATAAAGTAACACGTAAATACAGGGTGATGATAAACTTCCTGAAATCTTTATCACATGTATCCTGTCAATTTTTTAACTGAATAACGTTAAGTTAGAAAAAATTCAACCACATAAAGACTACCTATATATCAAGCCAAATCAGGTATCAAACACCACAATATTTGAAACAACGGAAGTTCTGATAATATCCGAAAATATGCAATTCTGTTTTAGAAGTCTTAATAAAGGCTCACAGCATAATAGCATACTATGAACAGACAGCATTGCTGATATGTCTAGCTATGAGAAAAAAATTACAGATTACAAACCACAAAAAATATTGCTAAAAACCACCTGAAAGCCCCATTTTCCTTTTGCAAATCTAACGTTTTGAAAATTCCACTTGTGAAGTTGCCCTCCTTTGAAGAATGATTTCAGATTAATTTCAAATATTGATATCCTGAAATTCTCAAGGTTGTGTCTTTTGAGGGGATGAGAAGGAAACTTTAAGTTTTATTTAAAGCTTTTTACTGATAAGGGTCCTCTTCTGTTTGTCCTTCCTCCAATAATTTCAATTTAATTTCACTTCTTAGTTTTGCAGACAACATTATTGTCAAATGTATTCTGATAGTTTCAAAAAAAGAGAAACTTTGTCACGTTTACTTCAAAAATTGTAGATCTGAATAAATGTGCTTAGATTACCTAAACCTCAATACTCTTCAATGAAAAGTAAGCTTCTAAGTCAAGTACATTTATCTGACTATTTAATAATCAGTCTTTAGGACAGTAGTTTAAACAACCACCTATGAAGGCTGGGGGTTAGAAGCACAAAAACAGTTTTCATACGTGGTAGCCAGAAGGCTCCTAAGAAATACATTTTTTTTATTCTTAGTAGTCTTTCCCTCAAGCAGACATGAGGTCTGCCTGACTTTTCTTACCAGGCCTTCAAAAAGCACTTTATTTCCAGCAAGCAAACAAAAATCAATAACCTACATAAAATGCCATAGACAGGAAAGAATAAAAGCAAGAGAGGTCATCTGACCTTGGAAATAAAGACACAGCACCCATCTGAAAGATAATATACTCTCACATTAATTACCCAGAGCAGCAGCTGTGCTCCAGTAATCAAACATATATGGGAAAGTGCTCTGTAAGCACTCTTAGCTTTGCACTCAGGACTTGATGGATGAATCGATCTCCCAAACAGAGATATCAGAGGTTGATTACTACTGCAACCAGCTCTTTGCTGAAGGTTAAACTACTTTCCTGCCTGTAAAGAAACATTAAACATCTCCACATATTTCTCAAGCCACATAAAGAAAAAGCTTGATGTTTAAGGATTTTTTTCTCTGCTACTTTGTATTAAAAAAGGAAGTATTTAGAACACCACCAAAGGGCATATTATCGCCTCAGAGCAAGACCACAACATCCATGCCCAGTGCTACTCAGGAAAAGACATGCAATAAGAAAAGGTGAAAATATGAGAGTCAAGATTCCAATTTCGTCTGTTATTTGTTTGTCAAGTCCAGATGTATAATTGTTTGCTTTCTTGTGCATGCAGGCAGAAATGAAGCACTTCATTTTTTTATTATTATTATTATAAATATGCCTTTTAGAGTTTACTTTATAGAAGCACTATGCATTGTATATTCCACAGTCTAATCCCAACTTCTTGGAATAAAAGATCACACTCTCGATGGATCTGTATACTACTGTTACTCTTCCTAAACAAAGCTGTGTGCCACATGGAACCAAGATTACACCTACACACACTTCAGCACTGTATTTTGTCACATATAGGGTAACAGGACAACTGAGTTAGGAAGGGATCTTGGGAGGTCTCCTCTTTGAGCCCTGCCCAAAGCCCAGGCAGCTCTGAGCTCAGACCAGGCTGCCCAGGGCTTTACCCAGCTGTGGCCCCATAACCTCCAAAGCTGGAGGTGGCACAGCCTGTCTGGGCCCCAGCTCCACTGCAGGGCTGTCCTTGCAGGTGAAAAGTTTCTTGCTCATCGTCAGCTGGAATTTCCCCTGTTTCAGCATGTGCCAGCTGTCTCTAACCCACGCATCAGCCACACACTCTGGTGAAGAGCCTGGCTGCATCTCCTCCATCCCATGGGCTGTTGTTGGGTGACCCTGAAGCTGTCACTCCTCTCAGTTGCACCAGCCCTAGTCCTGCAGCCTCTCCTCGCAGGGAAAGCAGTTGCCGCCCCTCACTTCCCACCAGTTTGTCACTGTTCTTCCTCTACTGGGGCCCTGAAGTGGAGGCAGGACCCAGGTGGGGTCTGACAGGTGCCGAGCAGAGGGGACAGTCCCTGCCTTCCCCTGGCTCTCAGGGCCGTGTCCTGCTCACGCTGCTCCAGGCGCTGCCATCCCTTTTTTTGCTGCCTGGGCCATGCCCCAGAGCAGCTCCTTGGCTGCACCAGCCCCAGCCTGTATCATTGTGAGGGTACTTACATACATTTTGAAAATTTATCTTCTCATTTATAAAAAGCATAACTGTTTCTTCCAGTTTTGCAGAACTTTTGCAAGAGAAAACTTAGTATGCCAGTTGAGTGTGTAGGCAAAAATAATTTTGTCTTCCCTAAAATAATTTTGGACATATTTACCCATGTCTTCCACAAAAAACAGCTATTCTTTGAACATATTTGCCCATAACTCCAAGTCACTCTACAAGCAAGGAGACCTCTGACTGTATTTGCAAAGGCATTCCACCCCAAGTGCAAGATGTCTTCTCACATTTTCTGAGGAACTTCACAAAGAACCTCTGTTTTTCCAGACTCCAGCAATACACCAATGTTTCACTTGTACAGATACAGTTATTGCAACAAGACAT